TGGTATCCTACTCGAAGTGGGCCGATCAATATGCCAAGGATATGCTCCAGGGCGAAACGCAGAGAGAGAGGGACGCGCGCCCATTGACACTCATTAATGATGACCTTCTGGAAAGTAATTAAAAGTGACCCTCAAGTATAATGCTCAGTAATTTTTCAAACATGGAAGGACCACTGCAGACTGCAGACTGCAAAAGTGGCCCCAAAATCCGGACTAAAACCCCGCAGGGCTAAAACCATTTCCATAAGCAATTTATGCATGGCGATAGTTTTCGCACACGATGACCCACACAAAAACACAAAGGCAAACAAGCAAACACACCCTTACATACATACAGGGCATACACAGGCAAAGCTGCAAACATTTTGGTTAACGAGACTTTTAATCTGTCCAAAGGTATTTAAAGTTGGCTAAGCCCCAACACTGACTGACTTTTATGGTTACGGAGCAAGTGTCAAAATGTTTGTTGACGACAATGACCGCCCCTGCCGCAACCACGCCAAAAGGAGAACAACATGAGTGGTAATTTATTTTGCCTTTGCCGGAGGAGCAGCAGCACCATCACCAGCAACGCCCACACAGAGCATGAAGCATGGAGCACAAAGGACAAGGGCCACCTTCCTGGAATCCAAACGACCATCCATACACAGTACGACCATCGTAGACAGAGGCAGGAAAAGTGGAGGGACCGCTCGTCCGACATTAGGCGCTAATCTTGATATTGTATAAGGTGTAAGGGTAAGGGTAAGGAAGAGGCATCTGGCAGTGACAAGTAGCAGCCGCCTAGGTTAAGCGATCCGCATATGATGAACCCAGCCACGCCAACGCCCAGGCCCACGCCCCATCCAAATGGATGACAGGATGACACGAGGAAGGACAGACGAGGCGCCGGAGATTTAATTGAGCAGGCGACCGACCATAAAGCCTGCATCAACGATGCTGCAAACATTTGACCCTGATTTCATGAGTCAGCATTAGCTGATCCGTTGATGCCTCGCCAACAGGCAAATCAGCGCCAAGCTCGTCCATTATAACCTTTTTGCACTTGGATATGCGGTGGCTGTTACTGTTTTGTAATCGTAATCCCTCACTGGCTGAAAACTCGAGTTCGGGCGTAGCGGAACCAGTTTAAAACTGTTAGTTAAGTAACTTCAGGATTAATTTAAAACGTGTAAAGACGAATCGCTCACACACGTGTGTGTGTGCGGGCGCGCTCCAATGGTCGTTTGGAGGGGGAGTTTTGAGTGTGTGTCCTTGATGTATCACTTCCGCTGTCTGTTAACTTACGAGTGCGCCATAAATACGCTTGGCGGCCAAGAGCACACGCGCCAAGCGTTCCGTTCCATTCCGTTGCGATGCGATGCGAAGCCAGCGACGGCATTCAAACCATTTGATAGCAACACGTCTTTCTGGTATTTTCACACGCTTGAGCATCGCATTGGATTCAACGTCACGTTTTAGTGTCACCCCAGTTTCGGTCCCAGTTTCGAACAACCCAAACCCACCATCAACCACCCACCGCCGAATGGCGTCGCCTAATATGCTTATGCTGAATGCCGGCCAACTGTCTGGCAGCCAAAAGAGAGACGGGACAGGATAGGACACGATGAGACGGACTGGACTCGAACGGAATGAAATGGAATGGGTGGACTGCCATGGTCGAGGGGGAATTGAACCCTTTTCGTTTTCCGGCTTGGAGTGGCAGTTCCAGTGGCACGAGCATAAAGCGCACACCACACCAATGACCACGTGCCGCCCATCCTCATCCACATCCTCATCCAACATCCCACACCGGCACAGACAGACACATACACACAGCGCACGTCAATGTTTATATTTCAACTACAATATTATTTTCACTTTTAGACAGACAAGCGGGTAACCAAAGCATACATTCAGTTTATTTTGGAAATTATAATAAGCCACTTTGTGGCGTCGACGCCTCCCAGAATATGAGATGGGAGAGAGGAGGTGGTTCGTGGGTTAGGGAGCGAGTCTGCGGAACCCTAACCTGTTTGCCAAACTTATTCCCGATTGAACGTGCTATCTGCTGACTTGTGCGATTTTTCGTGGCGAAAGGGACTATATTTGGTTGAATTCAAGATATTGCAAGTTCAACCTAATTGATATGAAATTATAGGCCTTTTAGCCATTGCTTTTGAGACTTTGATTTGATTGTTCTCCATGTGGATGTGTTGTCCAATTTTATGGCGAAAGCCACGTATCTATGACTGCCCTTAATAAGATAAGCCGCGACTGCAGTGCACCGGACTAATGTAATTTGGTCGGACAGAGACGACGCCAACTTGGAGTGCAGCCGACAGCATTTCCAAATTCAATCAGCCGTGGAAAAATTCCTGGCCATTTCGCTCTGGAGTGCATGCCCTGTGTGGGTGGGTCTGGGGAAAAAATGTAATTAAGCGAGGAGCTCGGTGGGAGAAGAGCTTCAAAGGAGCCCACTGTATTGGATGAACCGGCTCACGAAGGTGGACGACGAGGATGTGGCAAGATGGCCATGTAACTCTAGCCAGAGCGAAATGGCCGAGATAATTAGGATTATGCTCATTACAGTGCTCTCGTCGAGCGGAAAAGTAATTTGCAGCAGGCGAGATGGCCGAGATGCGCCTCCAGATACTTGGAATCTGGAAATGGTCTAGTGATTAGTGACGACATAATATCACAGATCGGCTGGGTGAAAAAAGACCAGTAAAAGAACAGCGGCAGAGGAATTTCCTATCTCGCGGGCCCCTGCCCTGCTTTAGTTGAAGACCACTGCTTTACACCATTTTAAATCCACACCACTGACCTTCAAAGGCTGACCCGAATTGAGCGCGAAATGAGAAATATTGAAATATGTATTGAATGAGGCCTCTACCTTTTGCGTTAACCGAAAACTTTTATCATAAATTTAAGGGGCCGGGCACACAAGTTAAATAATGCGGCAGTGCAGTGGGCAAGTCGAGTTGCCAAGTGGGTTGCTGGGGTAATGCAAATATATAGCCCCCTGCCACCTGATCATCATCATCTCACGATGGAACTCCGGCTCTGGTTTCAAGCCATTCGCACATTCCGACTGAGTCTTAAAGCTATCCGCATTTCGATTTCCCAGTTCAGGGCTTTATCACAGAGCCAGAGAAAAGAGCCCGCGGGAGAGATAATTTAAATTTATCAGCGCCGTTCTGTCTACCAATTCACCCCTGATTTCGTGGCAGCTTAAACACTGTTTATGCCTGTTAAATGCGATTCAGACGAAGGTCAACCGGATATCAAGCCCACTTAGCTTCATCCGGCTGAGCCCCGAATCCTTGCGCAAGGCTCTCTCAGGCCAAGGGCTTTTAGGTGACAGTCCTGGCAATCTGGACAGACTGAACAGTCTGGAGTCTGGATTCCGGATTCCGAAGCGGTGAAAATTACCCCGGACTGACTACTGGCTGTCGGCCGTTGACAGGCGGAATCAAATGTGTCATCAAGTGCCTCTTTCCCGTGCTGCTTTGCCGGTTTTCCTCTGGTTTGCCATATGAATAGTTAATGACTCGTATGCCACACTCACACGAGGGCTGGTCCTGGGTCCTCGGTCCTGGTCACGGTCCTGGCCTTGTCCTTGTCCGGAACCACCGTGTCCACACGGACAATAGGGCATTAGCCATGCAGCAGACGGACGGGCAAGTTGTGCGGTAAAATCTTACACTGCAGTTTATGCAAAGTTGCCGATAGCAATTTGCAAATTTAATGGCGTAAACAAATTCAATCAATGTATGCAAACAAATACAGGACAGGGGCGTTCGATGGCTGGAAGGGGATTACGATTACCATAGAGCCTTGCAGCTCCACAACTCCAGAACTTCAGAGCCGAATGCGTTTTAGTTAAAACTGCAAAAGGCAACAATAATCAAAGCTCGGCATCGTCTGTGGCGATAAGTAATACGAAGAGCACACTCCTGCATGTCTGCACGGCTTGTGTGGCATGTCTGGCGAATGGTCTGCTATCTGAGGGCAGTCAGGTGCCATAATTGTTTGGCCGGTGACAACTGCTCCCTGCTCCCAGCTCCCTGGCCACCACACACCCACCTGGCTTCCTGGGGAACTTGGGCAGCTGCTCCTCCTGCTCCTGCCTTTGTCTCGAAATCCGATTCAGATTTGCCACTGACTGCTCTTCGAATAAATTTTGGTGTTTTGCTGCCATTGGACTCTTAATCTGGATCGTATTTGTCCAAAGGGCCGAGCCCTTTAATTGCTGAGTAAAAATATGCAGCGAGCTCGAATTCGAGTATACTTTTAAGCTGCCCAAGTTCCATTATCACGCATGAAGATGGCAGAAGTCTGAAAGTGGGTCGCAGTGTAAAAAATGGATACCATTTTTTGTCCTGCCGCACAAATTTGTCTCTAGTAAGCGGGTGAAATGACAACTGAACTTAAAAACTTGGCCAAGGCAGCAGGAAGCCCTCTGCACAATGGTTACAAACATATTTTCGATGGAATAAATTGAAAAAAAAATAGATATGGCCAAATGTTAAAATCTGTGACACATAACATTATAATTATTTTAGCCTTAATCATATTTAAGCTTGGCAATAATATCTTTTAAATGTATAAAGCAGAGAAGTGCTAGAAATTTTAATGCGGAACCAGTGTTCGCCGCCGGCAAAAAGCTCAAGGAGCAGCTCAGGGTCCTTGGAACTGCCTGCTGAGACCCAATCGACTACCAGATGCCGAGCACCAACCATCAACCGAGCATGCCCATGGTGCGCTGGTGAGTTTGGCTGGGGAAAAAGAAAGGTCTTGTAAATTATTGCAAAAAGCAGGCTGCAAATTAATGATAACGACCCGGTCGACACCTTCACCCCGGTCGTCGAATGCCTTCCAAACGTCGTGCCTCCCATACGAGACTTCCGGGAAGGAAGAGAAAGGGAAGGCTGCGACTTAAGTGACATGAAACAAGCAACTACTTAGTGGCAAGGGTATGTCTACCAGGGAGCGGGAAAAAACTTGACAACGCAGTATGTGTGGTTTCTCGACTCCTGAACAGTGCCAAATGCAATTCGCTGCTATAGCTGGGCGGCGGTTTAGTTGGAGCCCCAGGATAAATAAATACTTCCTGTTGCTTCACACGCACACTTTATGGTAGTACAAGTTATTTATGAAGGCGACTTTTTCATCAGTTTATCAGATAGCTGAAAACGCTATCTTCCAGTGACAGTGCGTCGTCCAACCCCTCAGCCTTAATGGTCCCCATTTTGGTATGAAACATTGGAGCTTTGTCGTTTACAGTCAGATTTGTATAGAAAATGATTCAAAATGAGTCCGTCCAAATTCTTTGTGTGCTTTTTGCTAATTTTTGTAAAGTCAGAGCTGGTGCCGGAATTGAACACGACACAACTGCAAGATATGCCGCTCCAAGATCCAGAGAGTCCAGAGAAGGATCCCAAACCCTCGGACTTTCAATTCCTAATTACAGGCGGATATCGGCCCAAAACAAACAAACTGGTCAAATATGTGGTTTCGTTGCGATTGGGCAAGTCCAAGAAGTTCTTCGGGGATAACCACTTTTGCGCCGGTGCGATCTTTAGCCCACGGGCCATTCTAACAGCGGCCCACTGCCTATATTCCAAGTGAGTATGTAGTATAGTTATAGCTAAAATACACCTATATGATGTTCATCCGAAGTCGTCGCAAGCTGATGCCCAAGAAGTTGACGGTCATCGCTGGGACGCCAAAGAGGCTGGTGAAAAGCGGTTCTACACAGATTGTTCAAGCCCAAAAACTCATTCCGCACCCTAAGTACAAGAAGGGCAAATCGCAGAAATATGACATTGGTATTGTGCTGATGAAGGATGATCTCGATCTAGGGGGCTCTGCCGCCAGTATACCTCTGTATAATAAGGCTCCGGTGGCCGGTGTCGAGTGCAGCATCGTTGGCTGGGGAACGGTTATACAGGTTCGGCCCTACATACAGAATAATTAAAAACGGAATACAAGAATACAAAATGGAATATACAAGATTAATTGATCTAAACTTGAGAACTCGTCTTCTCTCTAATTCGAGAAGAAATGTTCTTAAAACCAAGACTAAAGTGTTCTTGATTTTTGTTTTTCGATATGAAGTTCTTTGAAATAGAAATGAAGGTAGTCTTATTTCGATTTTTAGTATTTGAGATAAAATCGATCTTGGCTCACTTCTGAAATTTGTTTTCTGAGTGTACTTGTCTATCCATTTATCAATCCTATCTCACTCCTTTTCGGTTTAGTTCGGCCCACTTCCGGATGAGGTCATCAATGGCGATGTGAAAATCCTGCCAGACTCCTTCTGCCGAAAGCAGCTGGGCTGGAGCAACTCGGGCATGCTCTGCGCCAACGACCAGACCAACACCGAGGTGGACAGCTGCCAGGGTGACTCGGGCGGCCCGCTCATCTGTGACAACAAGGTGACCGGCATTGTGTCCTTCGGCACGGGTTGCGGCGAACCCGATTCGGCTGGAATCTACACCGATGTCTACCACTTTCGGGAATGGATCAACGAGAACTCCTGCCCCCGGACCATATATCCGATTCGCACCCTATTGATCCTGATGCTGCAGCTCCAACTGGCCTTTCTGGCCAGAGTTACGGGTGTATCCTAGCGCCTAGTGCCTGCTAGGACATCATTCAACAGGCAGTTAGTGCAACAAACTACTAAGTTATCGAGTCATCCAGCGAGCAGCAGCCTGAAAACCTCCAAAACCTGCAGGCGACAAACCAAAATTGACTAAAACCAGCGGCCATGGCCTGTCATCCGTGGACATGGACGTGGATGTGGATGTGGATGTGGATGTGGATGTGGACGTGGATGTGGATGTGAAGGCAGGTAGCGATGGCGGTGGACATGCGAGTACGAATGCGAGGCCGATGGCAAATGGCGAGTGTGGAGGAGAACGGAGAATGGCGAAATGTGGTGCCAACCGCGCCATTACCCGCGCACACATGCACACACACGCACTGGCCGTAGAGTGGGTGGGACAACGGTTTATGGTTACGCTGATGCTGATGCAGATCCACATTCACATCCACTGTTTGTGACAGCAATTATCGCATCACGACCAGGGGAATCCTCCTGTCCTCCAGCCAACTAACCGACCACCCACTCATCCACACAGCCATCCCGGCCACACGGCATATCAAGCAGCGAAGACAATATGCAACAATTCGCGTTGGTTAATTTTGGTCACTCGCCAACTGTTGATTAGACCAATTAGGGGCAACCAATTAGGTGGCCTGGTCCAGATTATAGGAAGCTCTGCGACAGAAAACTGGGCCAGTGGAATGGCCTTTGGATTGGGATGCAAGGTGACCAGACCAGCGTAGTTTCCTGGTCTTTTAGCTCCATACGAATCTCGGGTGGAAATCAGTGCGGAAGCATGTTGATTTGATATCAGAGCAATGCAATTAGTAATCGCACACGCACACTCCAATCACTCGCACATATAGTAGGATTGAAAAAGCCAAGAGACGGGGAGACCTCAGCAACACAAGTCACGAACGTGTTTCGTCCCCAGCAAGGGATGCTCCATGCTCCATGCTCCATGCTCCATGCTCCATGCTCCATGCTCCGGGCTACAGGCTCCAAGATCCATGCAAGGCCATTGTGGAACAGCCTCGACGATACACGAGCGGCAAAGGCAAAACAATGTTGAATTGATGTGGGACTCCAAGGGACTCCGAGGGACCACAGCCAGAAGCAGGAGCACACCCAGGCCAGACACATATTTACAGACATTCAGGCATTCGCAATCAGGTTTGTCATTTCACAGTCGTATTGTGTGCTGTTCAAGTGTTCATAATGAATTTAATCGCGTATGTTTATTGCTCACTTTGCCATGGCTGCTCTGCCACGTCCTGTTGCCCAGTCAGTTCCTCCGTGGACCCCAAACCCAAACCAAACCAACAAGTTGTTGTTTTCTTAGCCTCATGGCGGCGTCGACACTTTATCATTTTGTCACGCTTCTTGTTTACCAAGTTGGCTCGTCAGCGCCCTCGTTCTTCTGCATATTGATTTAGCATTGTTGTTTCCGTTGTCCCACACATGTGTGTGTGTATGTCCAAGTCCTGCTCCTGGAATGTCCTGCTCTAGCTCCTCCTGCTGCTCTGTTTTTGCGCTGGCAGCAGTAAATTGTTTGCATATATTAGACACATGCCTAAAATTGCATTTCAAGGGAAGTTCATTTGAGAATAATTGCAGTTAAACTTGTCATCGTGGTTGTGTGAATCTTTTTCGTATCTACAAGATAATCCAGGAACTAGTCTTCTTGCAAATAACAAGTAAAAACAAGAAGAAGAACTTTGTAAAATTGGCATTAACTATAATGTAAAAAAGAAAGTTATTCACAATTAAATTAATTTTAAAAAATGGAATTGGTATCGAGTTCGTAAATAACTAACTGTTGGTATTAAGAAAAACGAAAAGAAAACTTCACTTGTTAGCCTAGTGAAACTGACAATTTCTGGAGTTCCGGTTAACAAGCTATGGCTAGCAAAGACTCGATTTCCATACGAATTGGGGAGTTTTACTCCCGTCGGGCAATCACGCACAGCCCTAAACAGGCGGATCCAGTGCCAGGAATGCGGTAGTTGGCAGGAGATTCGCCCTTCCTCTGCACCATTGCATTATGTGAATAGTGAAACAGCTTGGCACAACCTACTAGCTCTGGTCGTTCAACCCCGGCAACCGGACCATGTGACCATCGGCCAGGTACACATGGACCGGAGTGCGAGTGTCCGAGCCGTACAAGCGGCTTATTCGCGGCACAGCAGGACTCGCGCCTGCTGACAAATCGACGGCTAAGCTGCAACGTCAACACGTCGACCACAAGCACGGACAAACCCACCCGGATTCGGACTCGGATCCGGACCAGCGCAGGGCACGCGTTCCTCCTTGCCAGATCCAAACCGTACCGAAATCACTATCAATTTGCGTTTGTAAATACATTTTAATGGCATTTCAAAGTGAGGCTGAGTTGATCCCTGAGCACCGCTTGGCTAACCCATCCTGGCCAACCAAACCGCCTCCCCAAAGGCTTCGCCGCGTTCAGCTCATCCCACTATAGTAATCAATTTGAACATTTAGGCGGAAAGCATCCTCTGATGTGGATGTGTGTGGGGAAGGGGGGTGGGGTATTGTAGTGGTATGGGGGTTCCAATGACACCGGAAATTCAAACTACTTCCTGTTTGGCGGTGGCATTCGTTAGCCGTGTTTCATTTTCGCTGGGATTTGCTTTGGTCTGACGGATGATGGCTTGGCCTGCGATTTGATTTGTTTTCATTGTAACGAGCCTTTTATTAGCTCCACTGCCAAAGCTTCCCATCTCCCCCACGTCCTCACATCCTACGTTACCCGTCCCCTGTTCCCTGTTCCCGATCCCAGCCCATTTCATCCCATCATGGCTGTTATATTGGCTCTATTGTTGTTTTTGCTGCTGTGTCGTTGTGGCCCTGTTCGTTAAATGCAAACACCAAAAGGGTTTTCAAAAACAACAATCAACCAGCAGTCCTCTCCCGGATTCCCCTCAGTTCCACCAACCACCCATCAGTCCGACCATCCGCAGTCCAATCGCCCAGTCGAAAACCCCCACCGCTTTGGGTAGGAGTGATGGGCAGGATGGGCGGGAAGTTAGGGGAAGGATGGGCAGGATGGGAAGGACAGGAACGCCAGCGGCAGGCAACCCGTTTTCGATTCTGTTTGCCCAACACTGGCGGGCCACAGTGACGGGTATCTAACCAGGAATAGAATACTGAACAATATGCCTGACCAAATCGATGGTGTCAAATGGAACCGTAAGATATATATATTTTTTAAGAATCTATCCTAACAGTTGCAAATACAAACGTTTCACACTTGAGCTAAGAATGTATTAGGGTCTTTCAAGAAATTTGCAATGCTCTATTGAATAATTCTAAATTCTATGTTATAGCAATGTGAGTTTATTGTGCTAGCACATTTAAAGTTTACTCGGATACTTATATATATAAGAAAATAAGGATATTAATAAGAGTTATTTCTACAAATATTATAGAAATCGATTTAAGATAATCAAAATGATTTTTTTCAAATAGGAATTTCCGTTCTCACAGATATTTGAAAGCCAGGTGCTAGTCAAGTACCCCGTGCAGTATGCTTTTTTAATTGTCTGACATTTCGCGTGTGCCTGTGTGTGTGCCTCCCTGTATGTGTGTGTGTGTGTGAGAGCGGATGGGTGCTAGTGTCGGTGCGGGTTTGACTGTATGTGTGTGCTCGTTATTGTCAGTCTGTAGCAAAGCGATTTGCATACAAATTTGGCACGAAGTGTAAATATTTAAGCAGATACAAAGTGTGAGTATTAAATTTTTGATACTAATTAATTATGCATGTGTAAATTTTGCAATGAAAATTATTATAACGCCATATTTCGGCTGTAACGAACGCACTTTCGCCCGAAAATCAAATCAAATGTTTGACAAACAAGAATCGGAATCGGGAACAAAAACCCGATTACACCCGCTGAATTTGAATTTTGCAACAGGATTTTGTGTTTATCAATGCAATCGCACACTCAACCGGACTTTTTGATTTTATTAGTTATTGGCTATTGTTCGAATACCTGTTCTAATTATGTAATTGGATAAAGCAAGTCATCCAAATCCGGTCGACCTGTGGTGATCCCACAGTCAGAGGATTTCAGATTACAAACTGGGATTCAATTTCAACATTCAATACTCTCCAACCGAGAAGAGCTCAGGACACAACACTTGGAAAGCAATAATATCAAAACATTAGGTGCGAACAAAACGAGCAAACAAATAGACAAACATGCTGGGAAATCGAACAAAGCCGGGGATACAATGTAACTAACGCGTCGAATGGAGGGACTCAAGTTGATTGGGATCGGGATTGAGGCAGGGGTTAAATTGAAAGTGGGAAATGCCAAAGCTTAGGCAGGGCAGACAAAGCAGTTCGCAAAAAGGATATCAAACAAGAAATTCTATTAAAACTTTTTCACTTTAGCCTTGCACCCCCTATTCCGTAAGTGTTCAATTCAAAAGCCAAATATACCAATAAATAATTTACTACTCCTACAGTCGCCGCCTCAGAGCTCCTTTGTCCGCATACTTAAAGCACATTAGCCGCTGCCCCCGACCAAATCCACGTCCAAGTCGAAGACCAAACCCGCAGGAACAGAAGCAGGCAGAGCGATGATAGCTCTAGCCACAGATGATGATGGGAGTGAAGAAACATCCTACGGAATCGACCACTACGTACCCATTACCGATTTCTCTACACACAAAAAAAAAATGTACCAATATAATAGATACGAACGAAATAGTTACAAGAAACTACACATACAATTTAATGAAATCTTACTATTTACTAGTAACCAAAGTCAATTATACCCATAAAATACTATTTGACCGCCTGCCGAAGACAACCCGGCTCTACCCTACAGGCTACTGGCCAAGAATCTGTCTGCGAAAGTGTAATCTATGGACCAGACCACTGCAGACTATTTGTATTAATTTGTTGTTGGTGACTGTGTTGCTGGGGCGGCATGGCGACCCCACAACTACAATGCGCTATTAAAAACGAAGGGGGAGCAGCCTCGAAAAATGCGACCCGACCGAGGCACTGAG